ATCCTTTGAAATGCACTTTCAAGGTGGATTCAAGCAAATTTCTAGATTACGTGATTTCTAAGAAACAAATTGAGTTGAACCCTGACAAAGTCCAAGCCATAGAGTAAATGGAGCCCCCAAAGAAGTGAAAAACGTACAACACTTGATAGGTGGCTTGGCAGCTCTTCATAGGTTTATTATTAGGTCTGTAGAAAAATACCTTTCATTTTTCAAGGTCCTGAAACTCCAAAGACTTCCAATAGACGGAGAAATGCCAACAAGCCTTTGACAAGCTCAAAGGCTATTTATCCTCATTGTCTTTACTTTCCAAACCAATAAAAGGGGGGGAAATTATAAATGTAATGGGGATTACAGCTGATGCAGTAAGCTCAATATTATTAAGAGACATGGAGGTTTGCTATATCCACAAACCCAAAAGCCTCTAATTGTGCAGGGGTACTGAAGGCATTCAAATCCACAATCCCATTTCAACGTGGTGTAGGATCCTTTTTAATTTCCATATCCACAAACCCAACAGTTAAATAATTCATGTGCGAGTGCAAAGTATGCCACTCTAAAATACGAGCAGCGAGCTCATCATTAACCTACTTTATTTTTACATCGCAAACAAAAGTATATTGTCTTTTCTAGGTTGCCACCTTATTTTTTATGTTATGGAAGATGATCATTTTATCATAGCATGCAATGTAGTACCAAATTGTCTTTTTGCTAACATGCTTACTTTGAAAAAGGGACTGAAAAATTGTCGACTTGGCAAACATCTTCAAGCTTATGCATAGCAACATAAATCCAATTATGAACTTTACTAGGCTTAGGTTCAACTGTGTTAATGCTTGGTCGTACTCTGTCAACATGTCAAAAATCATCCCTAGAAAAGAAAACCTCAAGCCAGCTTCAAAATCATCTAGATGTACTAGAATCTAACCATTTGCAACCATCGAGTAAGCCCTTTCATTTATTGATGCAGCCCAGACCAATATGGTGCTAGGAATTTGGTATTCTTTCGCCACTAAGTCTAACTTTCTTAGCCCTTTTAATAGTGGCTTTACCATCCGCCACCTCATGGTGAAAGATGGCCTTAAGCTTACACCTGACTATCAAATCTGTCAGCGTTTCCTAGATATTGCTCACCAAGTTGGCACAGGGAGCTATTTTTTCCCATTCCTCCAAGGCAAATACAATTTTTGCTTCCCTTACTGCACCTTTTTTAGTGGCTTTTGTTTCTCCTTCTTGATCTTCGCCTTCGCCAATGATCTTTGTTTCACTAAATAAGGAGTTTGGACTATTTTCTAGTTCATGTGGTGCATCGACATTTGGCCTATCTTGCAAATCTGGCAACACAATCATGGCAATGAGGGAAATTGCAATCACCCCTTCCTCCCAATCTTCCTAGTTACCCCCACCTTGTTGTGCATTTCTAAAAGAATGCATGACTACTTATATCTTTGCAAGTGAGATGGTTCTTGATGCTTTCTTTTAGTTCTTGGTTTTCCTAGACTCTTGCAAAAATGGCAAACAAAATGGCAAGAATGGTGCAAAAGATAGTAAACGAAATGGTTAACTACCTAGAGCAATGATTTGCATCTCTTTTACTCACCAAATTACATGTATCTCGATAACCATACCCTCACCTCTTCAATGGCCAATAAAAATGCTCCATGTAGTAGTCGTTCACTACAGCATATTTAAGACAAAACAACCTTAACTGTCACATCCTTTAGAATACTATCTCAGCATTTAATGCAAGGGTAATGAGAGAGGATACAACATGATGCTTCAAGTAAATGTCAAATTTCAAATCCTCAAGTTTCAAAGGATTTGTTTTTGGATGAGCTCAAAAAGAACTTTAAGCAAAAAATTTAGTTGCCAAGAAATCAGATGAGCTCATAAAGAATTTCAAGCAAATGTTCAAGCTCATCAAGACTGTTTTTGGTGAGTTTGTGAAAATGACATCTTACTTTAGGGTTCCCTACCCACTCCCCTCAACTCATTATTTATTGTTACCAACTCATTATAAATCAACTCCTTAAGGCCAATGTTGGGCCATGATAATAGCCACAATGTTTCATCAACCAAACACTAGAAAGGAGTAATGTTGGGGAGATGGTCTAACATTGGTCAAAAGCTCAATTGGTAAAAGACCCACTTGGGCAAGAGACTTAGTAAGAGCCCAAGTACAAAGATAAATAATAAAAGGATCATGATTGGTGCACACCTTGATCCAACACATCCAACACCCAGATGTGCACCCCCCACATAAAAAAAAAAAATGATATGCACCCGGATCCATTTTTTTTTCTATGGGGGGTGTGCACACCCGAGTGTTGGATCCGGGTGTGCACCCATCATTTTCCATAATAAAATCACACCCACATAACGAGTGACAGGCAGACTAATTGAACAAGGGCATCTATCATTGCTGTCATAGATGAGGGGTATAAATACTCTATCTACCTAATAACTCCACTACACTTTTCTCTCTGCAATATTTATTCTTAAGAGCTTCTCTCTTTAAAATAACTAAATATTGCTAACTTGAATGTCAAAATGTCTTCCTTGAGGATACTTCCTTAAGATTTTGAAGTACCCAAACAGAGAGAAATTGAAATAGCAATACAAAAGGAGAAGAAAAGTAAACTTGAAAATTGTGTAATTTCACTTAACATTTTCCTACTCCATGATAAAATTATAACCTTTAAACTCAATATGCATTGTTAGTATTTTGTTATTTTTTAATCAGCCATAAAACCATTTAAAAGCTAACTATTTGTAAGAATGAACAATAAAAGTTGATCACCCATGCTTTAGGCAAAAGTGTAACATCTATATTTACAACACAATCTCTTAAATGTTCACTTTTTATTATATACTAGTAAACTATTACATTAAAAACCTTAATAAGAAAAACTCAACGAGAAAAAACATCGCGAAAGGAAAAATAAAGTAGTGCGTATAATTCTTTCTCTCAATTCAGCAAGGGTCTCTTAACTAGTTGTAAAAGATGGACAGGATTCTTACTTGAATTAATCTATTGGAGACTTATCTCACCGGCCTTTTGGAGTTCATGTGCACAATGAAACTTTTGTGAAATATGCTTGGTTTTCTCTTTTGATGTATCTTTCCTTTATCTATGGAATGTGAACAGATTCTTACTATACATCATTATCCTCGAATAGTAAGGTTGGACACTATAATTATTGTAAGGCTTGTATTTTTTTTTTTTTTGTATAAGTGTATCTTTATTTATTTATTTTTATCATATTTATTAAAGAGAATTTTTTTTTCATATAAAAAATCATGATAAATCAAATAATTGAAAGTAAAAAAATAAATTATTAAAATTTTATATAAACATAATATATAAAACTTATATGTAAGTATATCTATATTTATTTATTTCCTTTAAATTTGTACTATTTTTATTATTGTAGTGAAGCTTCATATGAAATTTTTTTTATTCTTTATATTTGATTTGGCATTAGTAAATTTTAAAAGACATTTAAAATGTTAAGGATTATTGTTGAGAATTTTGCCTTGGATTTGAGGTTTTACAGCATGACTACATGGTATTGGTTATTAAAATTCATGTCGACACAATACCATTACCAAAAAAAAAAATTCGACACCATATTAAGATCAATCAATAATTACCAAAAATCATTTGTTACTATGAAAATTGCTCAGCAGGTATGTGCTCACGCCCACCTTGCCCAGCCCAGACCCTGCTGCGTCCACGCGCCCAAGACACTTGTTGGTTACTGGATGATACGTGCTAAAGTTCTCTGAATAGATTCTTCAAAAATAGCATAATGTCGCTGAAAATCTCGCAACTTTACAAAAGAAAAAAAAAAGTCATTATCATGTTTCTACTTTATTTTAAAGTCATAAATATCTCCCGAACCTTACAGAAAGGGCCAAGCATATCCCTCCATTGACTGACATCATAAGGCCGTCCACCTGTCCGTTAGAATCCTCCAAATTTTAATGGTAAAATGACATAGCTTGTCTCTTAACATTCAATTCTTGTGCACTTTGAACCTCAACCTTCAGATTTATTCAATTTGGTCCCTAATTGTAACTATTTTATTACATTCAAGTATTTAACTCGTTCAAATATCAAAAATCAAAGTCTAAAATAATAAACTAAATTTATAAAATTCATCTTATCACAAAGTGTAAAACAAAAAATATCTTTGATACCAAATTTAAAACTCTATGAAGTGTTCCAACTAAAATGGTGTGAAGTTATAAAAAATATAAATATGACTTATGAGTATGGTGTAAATGTTGTTGTATGAATATTATAGACTAATGATAACTTGGATGATATTTTTATGATTATAAGTGTTTAACAAAGAAAAATAGACAAACATCTCTTATTTATTTATTTATTTTTATCATAATTTTGAATCAAACTTCCAAAGATCTAGAATTACAAGATTGACTCAAGTAATACCGTAATAGGAGATTTCAGAGGCAGCAATCAACCCATACCACCACCATCTAGACGACTAGACCAAGGACTACCCTTAAAACGACTCACATTAAGGTTTTCACACTGCCTTATACCCCCAACAAATTAAAACCCTTACTGATCTAACAACCCTAATGTACATCTTCTATGAAATATCTTCACGGAGTAGTACTTCAGGCATCTACCAAAAAAGAAATAATAATGACAGAAGATAAGGGCCATGATCATGGTCGCACGAACTTTTTTTAAGGCCATACATATACAAAAACTTTATTTGATTTGACTATTTCTATCAATTTATAACTGATTAAAGGGTTTTAAAATATTAGTATATAAGTTATTTTTAAACTATTAAATAATATATATCAATCATTTTATAAATTATCAATTAATAGCTATAATTATTAACTACTTTTGATAATCAATTCAAATATATTTACAATTTTTGTGTAGTCCTAACAAAAGTCAATGTGGCCATAACCATTCCCGAATATCAGGCATCTCTCATAAGGTTTGAAACAAAATAAAATGAAAATCCTTTCCCATAAAAGAACTTAGAAAACAATCTAGATTCAATACACAAGAAACCATCTACAACTTGAAAGCTCAATTCCTTCAAACTGGTACAATTTCATTCTATGGTACAACAAACTTGTTCATGATTGACCATGGTTTTTTTTCCCTTTCTCCTTTTCTACAAAAATTTGAGTGAATATTGAAAATCAAATTTATCTACACATCTTTTGGGATTGAATGAAAGGAGAAGCATATGCATAGAGTTCTGGGGAGTTTTATATATATATAAAAAAGAAAGGACATTTAAGAGATCTAAGCATGTTAACTTGCCTGCCCATCTGAGCTGTGGCTACCCTGTTGTTTGCTATTACTGTGCTTTCTTTTAATCCTGTCCTTTACCTCAGCTTCTTTCCTATCTACAAAACCCATCAAGTCCTTGAAGCTAGTTGAGCGAATGCTGCCCCTAGACTTGGCAGGTTCAATCTCCTCGGCCTCACCGTCTTCATCTTCTGGGCTAAATCTGCGGTACTGACAAAGGACTCTACAGCAGAACACAGTAAGAGCCAGGACGCAGGCAATGCCACAAATAAGGAACAGGCCCCAAAAGCTCTTCAGAGAGAGTTGGTCTTCATCAACTGGATTGAGTTGCAGGGAGCACTGATTGACAGTCAGCCATTTGTCATGGATCTTTTGGAGCTCACCATTCTCTGAAAGTTGAAGGATGGCAGTTGATAAGTCAACTGCAAGAGGGGAGTCCCGCTGAAAAGCCTGAAAAATGAAACTAAGGATGAGAACTGCAATTGATTATAGCATCAAATCCTCTTGTTTTAAGAAAATAACAGGAGATACTAGAATCATTAAGATAACAAAGTTGTGTAGCACTATATAACAAGATCCGGGAAGATATAACTTAGTCTAACTTAAACAGAATATTATCTAATTTTCTGCCTAACAAGATTCAAGATCATGATCATTATACGTAATCTAAATGAAGATCTCTTTTGCAATACTTGAGATCCAACTGACAGTTCAAGAGCAGTACTTACAAATCCCCAACCGGTTTTTGTGAATTCTTGTCCTACGGTCCTGAATTGACAATTGGTGCTGGACAAAAAGAGTTCAATGTAAGCAAGCTCGTCAACAATGGCAGCTACCCCACCAGCCTTTGGTCCCTTTTGAAGGTAAATGAAGTACTCTTCCCGGTTTTTCAGAGTAACAAGCCTAGATTCAGCTATGTTGAGCTCATTGATCAGATACTTCCATGCAAATGACCCATCTTGAACGCCAATTGGATCAGTGCTTGAAATCAAGCTATCAATCCCTTGAATCCCTGATGTCAGTTGCTGTACTGTGAGGATTGATGTCAAACTAGCTGTGTAGCTTGAGTTGATTATCAGAACTACAAATAGCCATATGATCAGCACCAACCTTCCCAAAGTGCTCACCGTGTTTTCTCCTGAAAATCAACACAAGGGATTTTAGGAGTTCCAACATGGATTGTGAGAATGTCAAATAAATTTTGCTGGAAAATGATATATAATGTAAATTTACGTACTGTGTGAAAAAAACATTGTCGAGAAGCTAAACCTGCAATACAAGATGTTTCAGTAGAATTAGCAACAAGAAGGATCATGCAGATGCAATGCAGATGATAGCCTCATGTTGCGACCTCTGCTGAAGTGCATGCAAACATAATAAAACAATTTTGGGGAAAAAATTACTATCTCTAATAATTATTTGTGCTATATTAACACACTATAAAAACATGAGAAGCATATTCTATAAGCATTTCCATTGTGTCACCAGGAGATGAAAAAGGTATACATTATCTGCCACTTAGATTCATAACTGCTATCTACTGATTCACTCAACAAAGGGCTATCAATGAGTTAAAGATACTAACCAAAAGATTGTAATCAGTTGTTGCCGTGGAGGGCCACGAAATTCATGATTGATGCGATGCTCAAGAATCCACACTACAGCTCCCACAAAAAGAAAGAATGCACCAGTGACAAACCACATTTCCTTTGTAAATGGCTTTAGGAAAGCCCAAGGACTAGACTTTGCTTCTTTGACAGGAGCAACAACAACAAGACCTGATTCCACATAAGGTTGAGTAAAATCAACAATCTTTGTCCTATTTGTAACAATCGTAACATCTCCAATTGCTGCATCATATTTCTGAAGAAGGAAAGGAGGTAGTTAATATAAAATTTTACTCAAGCTGAATGCTGAGCCAGGCTCTGAAGACTCTGAATCAAACCCATCAAATTATCATATAGCTGAATCCAAAAGAAGATTCAAGCTAAGTTTCTACATTAACTGAAAAAACAATTTTAAATCTTAAACTTACATTTTGGGCCACCTGATACACAAGATCATCATAGGATGGGTTTCTTTCACCATTTCCAAATAACATATACGTGTGCGGGACAGGATATGGTAGCAAGTTCACTGCAGCTTCAAAGACATCGATACAGTATCCTTTAACACCAGGGGGATTCTTGTCATTCTGCACAAATTCTTTAAAATCTACTCTGTTAGGCACCGCAATTCGCAGTGGCTTTCCATTGTCTGGAAATACCCATCCCCTAGGTTTTGCTGCAGTTTCACCAGGCCATATTACACTATAAAGATTCTGATTGCTGGCAGATGTATTTGGAGGTTTTGTATATAAAATCTCTGGGATAACAGTTGAGAGGCGAGAATAATTTGACCAATAACCAATTCTACGTGACCCAGTTCCACCAAAATTAAGAATGTCATAAGCTGGATGAACTAAATTCTTATCCGAATCAAATTGAATCTGACCACTTACTCCAGTGAAGTTCATCCTAAGAATTGTTTGGAGAAATTGCTGGCCTCCATCAAATACACGAAGAGATGCTAAGTGCAGTGTGCTGTCATTTGTGTCATGTAAACTTGGGTCATTGGAGAAAGACAACTTCCCACCTTCTTTGAAGAAAACATCAAGTGCTCGGGCAGCCAACCAAATGGAGTCATAAGCATAGAGTGCATAAGAATTGAAACCTTCAGGACCAGCAGTCTCATTGTATTTTAAGTTGTTCCACCTAGACATAAAACTCTTTTTGAGATAACTATCTGGGGTATAATGACGAAGAGCAACAACCCCTTGTAAGAGATTCATTGTATCAGGGTCAACTGGTTGCATTGAATCTAAGTGCGAAGGAAGCCAATCTGTAGCAATCCAAACATAGCCAGTGCTCATCATACCAAGAGATTTAGCAACAGAAAAGACTTCTAGACCAGAGTCAGGATTAACATGAACAACATAAACCCGTGATTCCATCAGGTTTACTCCAACTAACAACTCATAAATTGTGCTGTTGGAGGCTCCAGGTGAGAAACCAGCCTTGAAAGAAATCTTGGCACGCTTCAATGCCAATGCATCTCCCAATACAGAAATCCCACTTCTTCCATAATCATCATCTACAAAAATAGCTATGACCTCCCTCCATTCATAAAAGTCAACCAAATCAGCAATTGCATACATCTGGAAGTAGTCACTTTGTGTTGTGCGGAGGAAATAAGGGTACTGCAATGCAGAAAGAGTGGGGTCTGTTGCTCCAAATGACAGAAGAGGAACATGAAGCTCATTGACAACATGAGAGATGACATGAGCTATTCCGGATGATTGTGGACCAATTGCAGCAACTACGTCATTTTCCATCAGCTGCAAAGCTTCAGGGATGAGGACACCATGTCATAAAGTCATTTTCAAATGCTCTAAGAGAGCAAGACATGAAAGGAAAAAACAGAGATGTGTAAAGCACAATCTCATTTAACTTACGAGTATAGCAGGCACCAACTAAGCAGTCTATAAAGACTATAGCCTATTAATATTAGCCATGAAAATTAAATAATGCAGAACTGCAACACATAATAGCAACTTATTTTCTCCCTGAAGCTATCAAAGTATCTTAACCATGATAAATAATAGCACCAAAGCAGGAGTACATAAGGCAAATAACAAACCATCACAAAAAAGAAAAAGAAACAAACAACAAACAGGCAAATGCCCTTAAAAATACTTCAATACAATTAAGGGCAGTTTTAGTGTACTAATGCCTCAAATTAGGAAAATATCTGATTCAACAGCATAAACTCCTCCTACTCTCTCCCTTAAAGAAAGAAATAGAGAAGAGAAATGAAAAATTGATTCTATATGTTTACACAGGAAAAATACCTTCCACAGTTCCAAGAAATCCGCTGCAATTAGTGTCATGCAAAATAAGATTCAGCTTTGTCCCCTTAAGAATGTTTGGATCAGAATTAATGTCATTAATTGCAGCTTCAATTGCAGGCCTTGCTGCTCTTCCAATGACTGAATTAAATGTTAACAGAGCTCCAATATTAACAACACTCGGCCTCGATGAAGTAGAGCTAGAGGAAGAACTGTTAGTTCCAGTCCCACCCACAACTTCTAGAGATGACCACAAAATAAGAAAAATCAGGAACCCCAGTGACCTTGTCATTGAGCTAGATCCAGAATTCAACAAGACCTCCATGTTTAAACAAGATTCCAGTGTTTCAAATTAACATCATACAACACATGAAGTACCTGCCAACAAAGTAAGCAACAACATAAGCACCAGAAAACCCGTTATCATAAAACAATTCTCCAGTGAAAAAACATCAAATCGTGAACTTTCATTATATTCAACATGGGTTCCAAAAACTTGTCAATGTAAAATCAATAAGAAACAAAAAAAATAAATAAATAAACTACCAGCACCAAGAATACGCACAAATGGAAAACCAAAATCGAATAGATTTAATCTAAAATCCAGTCTAGACTGCTTGGATAATTTACAGGATGAGCAAATGCTATGTCGAACCAACCGAAAGATTCATCAAAGAAACAATTTTTTTAACATGGGTATATTCAATACCTTGCTAATTACATTTTGTTTTGTCTCAGTTTTATCAGGCAATGATAGTACAGTTATGAAAGGGGAAAAGTATTTAAATTAAACTAATAGAACAAGCTGCGGCAACCATATTCAAAGTGTCTTTTAAAAAAATAAAAAAACAACCCACATGCAAAGATGAAGAACAAGAAAATAATAGAAAATGAGATTGAGGATTACACTACCTTGAAGCTTACATATGGGTAAGGCTTTGAAGAAGAAGATATAAGAAACCCCTTCCCCTTCACATACCCAAAGCTGAGAACAGTAATTTCAAGCTCAAGGAAAGAATGATTCTCTTTCCTTTATGTCTGTTTCCAGCTCAGGCTTTATAGCCTTTCATTTTTCTTTAATTATTTTTTTATTTTAAAAAAAAAATTTAATTTTAAGTTA